CAGGATCTCCCTCCTGTTGGCTGGGATATGGGAGGCCTCCCAGCCTCGAGGGAGCAGAGAAAGAAGGCCGAAGAAGTGGAAGCGCCAGAAAGTTCTTCCAGGAGGTGCAAAGCCCCCCCCCCAGCCTGACGGAGGTCAGCCGAAAGGACCCACAGCCTCCAACGCCAGATGGCCTCGCTTAGCACCAGCTGGGGGGGGGAGCTGTTCTGTTCATTAGAAACTGTAATAATGATCAAGCCCCTACTATTTTCCAAAGAAGCTCAAATGAGTTTTCAGCTATGGTTACTGACTGACAGCTGAGAAACGAAAGGGCAGAGAGAGCCTTCCCACCCCCCCACCCCTGCCTCAGCTGCTAGGTCGGGGGGAGGGCTCTGTTAAGAGCTGCTAAAGGGAACACGACCCCCACCTCGGCAGGCAGCGTCGGGGCAAGTTCAAAGCTTCCCGGAGAGGCATGTGGCCACAAGAACGGCTGGGCTGGGCGCCTCCCCTGTGATGCCAGGAAGCAACCGAGGACCGACAGACCCTTCCGGGCGAGGGCTCCGTTTCGCCTTGGCCTTTCACCTCTCCTGACGGCACGTCCAGCTGAACCCACCCCCAAAAAGCACACTGCCAAGAGAGGGGAACATTCCTGGTGCGTGGATAACCGGTTCACGAAGGAAATGGTGCCTCTCTCATGCGCCCTGGGAACCCCAAGCAGCTTATGTGCAGAGGCCACGGCACTGTCGTCAACGTGGCGCCTGGGGTCTCTTGGGGGATGCTCCTGTTTTCCAAGTAGGAGGATGGGGAACCACCCCCACAGGGAGAGGCCTTCGCTTTTAAACAGGGTGGGTGGGGAGGCTCGTTGGTACTACAGAGCCCAGAATCCATGGTGTTCTGAGAGTTGTAGTATGGAAAAGCTGCCTTCCTAAGCTGACTCAAATCCCGAGGATGAATCTGAACTCGGCTCTCCCCAGACTTTAAACACCACGCCGTGTGGGCCCTGACAGGCAACAGCTAAGGCACCCTTACACAGCCAGGTGTACCAAAATCCCCACCAACCGAACAGCATCTGCACACATGGAGAGCCAGAAATCCCCCCTGGTCGGTCTGTGCCACCTGCACAAGGGTCGGCTCCAGCAGATGAACCAACGGCCGGGAGAACCAGTGGCGACACGGGAGGGAGGGAATGGGCGTGGAGTTCCTCTTATTCTTTGTCCAGTATCTCAGTTTACAATGGGAGGAGGCGGCTGCTCGTTTCAGAAATAAAACACAAGGGTGTGTTAAATTAAACATAGCAACTCCGCTCAGCAAAGCTGCTGACCAACAGGCAGAATCGTTGAAGGGAAAAGAGGCAGGCATGCGCCACAGTTTTGTCCAACAAACAACCCCCCCCCCAAAAAAATCCATTCCTCTCACTCATCCTCTCCCCTCCCAGAAAAATCAGGCTTTGTGTAACTTAATAATGTTGTGTAATTCCATAATTAAAAGCCTTTTTTTTTTTTACTTAAACTAGAAGCGAAAACTCCAAGTGATGTAAAGGGTGGGACGTCAGCACAGAAAAATAAAAGCCAGATAAGCCATTTTTCCTTTAGTTCTTGATCCATTTCCATGCCCATCTCTTGGGACCATTAAAATTAATCTGCGCTTGCAGGGTTCCTGCAGTGGCCGTTACTCGCTGCTGCTGTTTATAAGCACACGCTATTTATTTGACTATTTGACTGACCACGTATTTGTCCGTCATCAAGCATTACTGCAGAAAAGCTTGCTGGCTGCAATAAGTACTGTACAGCAGTCCTGGTTGAAAGCAAGTCTTTAGAGTTTCGTGAAAAATAAAATGCACTAAACAACCCAGAAACAAAGGTGAGTTCATCTATGCCTTAACTACAATATAAAATCTCCGGGTTCAATTCCTGCCATTTCCCCTCCCCCGCCCCCAAATACCCAGACCATTTGGATTCATGCAACTGCTCCGGACGAGGGCCAGAGCTGACAGGGCTTTGCTAGCACGGCCGTTTTGCCTTCTCTTGGCCTCTCCGTTGCACCAATTTCAGCTGCAAACTGCCTGGAATGAGCGCATCCCTTGGCAGAAAAGCAGCCTATAATAAACGCAAGAGACGGAGCCATGGCTCCATTTTCTCTCCCTCCGGCTGACGTCACAATTCGCATTTAACTTTGCTGGCTTCAAAAGCCTGGAGGCGAAGCAACGGCCTCTCTCTGCCCACAAGAGGAGCAGGGGAAACTGGGCCAGCCCAGGGGATTTTGGCAGGCAACGAGCCATCCAAGGAAAAAGGTCAAGGTTCACCCACACTGCCCTCTCCACTGCTCCGAGGACATCCATCTCTCTGGCTTAAGGGTATACACAGGTCTGTTCTCCAACTGCTGGCAAAACCAGATGCCTCTGCAACCCACACAGCCAAGGCTGGAACACACTGTCCTCCTGCCATTTGCCACCCACACCCACACGAGCAGGAGATGATGCTCCGGGAGAGCCCACGGGAGTGTTCCTTTCAGCTGTTTGGCTTCTAAATCTATCCCACTCTTTCTCTGCTGAATTTGGGGCACACGGTTCTCCACTTGTGAGGCAGGGTAGTCGGAGCAAAGCCAGCTGGGGCAAGACTCCCCCTGTGAGCGCCACAGAACCCGGAGCGCTCGAGTCTTCGCCCAGAACCACACAGGCCCCTGCCGCACCTTCTGTTCGCGACCGCGACAGCCGGGCACACGGCATGGCGGGACAACAATCCCTGGCTAGCAGCACCCCCTGCAAGAGCGAGGAAGTCCCCTTCTTCCTCGATGCCCCCAAGAGCCACGGCTGCCGGTCAGAGTCCGGCCCGTGGAGCCCCTGCCTGGACCAGCGGAAGTGGGTGACCTGCGGCCCCGGAGGAAGACCGTCCTCTGCAAACCACAGAGGAGCGAAGCTCAGCTCCAGAGTCACGCTGCACTCGCGAGGCGGCTCGCAGGCTTCCTGTTTGCCAAAACTAGGGAGAGTGAAAGCAGGAGGGCTCCTCTTCCTTCGAGGGCGACCCCAGAACGAGCCAGCGAACCAACAAACCTGGACAAGAAAGCCAAGGGTGGCCACGGGATGCAAACGGGACCCTCTGCTGGACCGCTTTCCAAAATCCCACGGGAACCCTGGCCAAGTCAAGACATGCAGGCTGGTTTAAAATAAAAATATTCAGTTAAGTTTATTCACATATTAAAACTGTACAGGCTAAAGCCAAGGACACGAAACACTTTCAAAGACAAGTTTTTACAACACACAACAGAGCAGATACCAAAACTAGAACGGTTAGGTAGAAGACAGGTACAGCCCAGAAAGCAGTTTTGAGAGCCTCTTTTCATTTTTTTTTTTAAAAATGGAATATAACAAAAATAGATGTTAACCAGCTACTCAGTATTATACAGTGATAAATACTTCAAAAAATATATTAAGTTATATGGAGTTTTTGGATCGGGCAGGAAATCCATAGAAATCCCAGCCTCCCATGGAATTCCCCCTTTGATTCTCCCGGAAAGGTTTTCCAACCGTTAAACTCACTTCGGTTTATAGAACGGGTTCTGCACCCTTCCCTGTTTTGGTATCAACATTCTCGTCCCCTCAGCGTGTATGTAGTGTAATTAATACGAATGCCATTCTAACAAAAACATGTTAAGCAAGCCTGTGTGTCTGTGCAACATGGATCCTGCCGCTCGGCGTGTCTGGGCGGTGCGGCCCGCCACGCTCTGCGCTGCCCCGTGGGGTGGCAGAGTTCAGCTTCTTGCTCTGGCTAATACTGGCTCACGTTTCACAAGGCAACAAACACCTCCCCCCCCGCACAATCCCACCCCCCAACACACACACACACACACACACAGAAATCCACACACGTCTTTGCTTAAGTCCCCTTGCAAAGCCATCGCCATCATGAAGGAACCGCCTCCTGCCATCAGCAGAGCCCCCAGGATGGCCGGCGACCAGGATCACTCTCTCTCCCTACAATCCAGAACGAGGTGCCCGGCCACCATTTCGTGGCTCCCTGGACTTCCAGAAAGCAGCGCCCTCCTCACGTGTTCTGAGCCAATACTACTTTTAAAATATATCTATCGATGGAGCTGCTCCTCTCTTCCACCATCAGAGAAATATAGAGTGGACTCTTCACGGGTTCTTCGGCAGCTTTGGAAGCGACCGGGGGGGGGTGTCCGCCTGCCCGCCCCCCCCCAGTCCCACCCGGAGAAGTCACGGCCGTCGGTGAAGTCCTTATCGGACAGCCAACAGGAAAGCCAGCCCAGCCAGGCCGAACCCTGCGGCCGCCATGATAGCGTTGCTGAGGGTACTGTTCTGGTCAGCTGCATCCGATCCATGTTTATTAAAGAAATGACAGAAGCCATCCTGGAATTGAGAGAGAGAGAAAGCAATCTTGAGTCAGTCAATCCTTGTCAGGCATTAATTAAATAATTAACCATTCCTAAATAGAAGCTTTCAGGAAAGCCACCACCATCGCAAAAAGAACGTCAGGCTTAAAAGACAGACATTGTTTCCTGGGCTGATAGCGATGGGCGCTCCCACCCACCTCACCGAGGAGGACACCTTTGGGCTCCAGCCGCCCAAACGCCTGAGGGCAAAGGGCGCGTGCTCATTTTCCAGGCGCCCCCAACCCCCCAGGCCTGTCTCGGTGCAGAGAGACGGAAGCCCCATTTTTTCATGTGCTGCAGCCTCCCTCCGGCAGAGCCGCCGGGCCCCACACTGACCCACAGAAGACACGGGCGTTTTCCACAAGGGACCCCGAACAGGTTGAGTGCAGGGGCCGGCCAGGAGCAGATTTTCCCCAGAGGCTGATGGCCGGCTACGCCCACGAGATGCCCTCCTTCTCTACGCCAGGCAGGGGCAGACGGGATGGGTAGTCCAGCGACACCTGACCAGCAAGCGTACCCTCCTCCTGTCACAGACAACCACCCTTCGCCTCCCGTTCCCAAGGCTGTACCAACGGCAGCAGAGCTGCTGTCGGGCGGAAAAGGCAACCAGAAAGAACGGGCCCTTCGGGGATAAAGAAGGGCATTTCCTTCTGCCTCGGCGCTGCAGGGGGACTGGCAGCGAAGGCATCCTTATGACAAGGCCATCCGTGGCTGAAAACGAGCCTCATAGAGATGGGCGACGCCACTGCACCAATTCCACCTGGAAGCAGAAGCCAGCATCGCATCACGCACCGCCCCCGACCCCCCCTCTTCCGGCTCCCGGGGAGGGGGGGAGCCCCACCACCGGCAGGCAGCTGCCCACCGGGGCCAGAAAGGGGCCGGCAGCTGCACCGCCAGACCTTGCTCCCTTCTGAGAAATCAAGCCGGGTGGGAAGAGGAGGCCAGATGGCCCTCTTTGAAGGCCCGTTTGGCAGATGTCTATGTAAATGAGTTATGCTCTTAAATTTCTCCCGGAACTTTGTTCTTGACACTCTAATTTGTACAAACAACGAGCCTTTTGCACCGACCATCAGCTTATGTTTTTCGCCAACAGCTGCCGCCTGACGATTAGCATTCAGGTGGGCTCCTTCGGGAAGACCCGAGTCAAGCCCCCTTTCCCTCCGCGGACAGGATCGCACCGAGCCAACACCCTTGCGGGGGCTATCCAGTCCAGGGAATGTCTGGTTACAACAGCAGAGCACAACCCCAAAGGTCTGAGTCTGGGAATGAAACAGGGAGGCTCCCCCCCCCTTCCCCACGTCCTTTTCTCACCGCCCTTAAGGAACTGGGCAACCAGGCAGGGAAAGCGAGGCAGAGGAGCAACCAACAGATTTTGCCCCAAGGCCACTTGCTTCTGAGGGCTGCAAAGGGGGGGGGGCTGCCAAGACTCCTCTTCCCCCCCCCCACCCCATACCCCCATTTAGCGGGCCTCTGGGCTTTTGCATTTGCAGCTCATTTATATATGCTCTTCTTTGGTCTTGCCCTGTAGTAGCAACAACTGGGGTGTGTGTGTGTGTGTGTGTGTTCCAGCTATTAGCTTGGCATTTCTCTGAGACTCTGCATCACCATGATCGAGGGCCACAATCCAGGAAACACTCAGGGGGCCAATGCCAGTGTTTAAAAAAAATCAAGTAGTTTTTTTTTTGTTTTAATTTTGAAAGGCTGTTGTCTTCCTGCGGCCATCCAGGGTTATCCATCCTCTTCTCACCTCCTGGGAGGCGAAAGTGACAGAGTTGTTATTTACTTGTTCCCCTTTGTATCCTGCTTTCTTTTCAACAAGCCCAAGTCAAAACTCAAGGCCCAGGGAGATCTCCGGGGAGTTTCCTGGCTCAGCGAAGGCACAGCCCTGGCTCTCCCAAGCCCCAGGACAAAACAGCAGCCACGAGGACGCGCTGCCACACACAACGATGCCATTCAACCCTCTCACCAGGACACGCCTGGCCCCTTCTCTCCCACACGCACGGCACAGACAAACCCAGCCATGTGCAAGATCCACACAAGGATCACCAGCCCTGGGACACATGCTAGAGAACGCCAGTCCCTGTGGCTCCTGGCCACGTGAATCAGTGCCAGCCACGCTTCTCTTTTCCCTCCCATGGCAGGCCGTATCCTGTGACAGCGGGGCTCTTGAAGGACCACATGCCACAGACCGGCCCCTCGCCAGCTTCTAAGCCAATTCCCTTGCGTGGCATGGACGTGTTCTCTCGTTGCCCCTTCCAGGGGTGGGAAAGTGGGCTCCTGGCCCCTAAAGCCCTTCCTCCCCCTTCGCGAGGGTGCTCTGGGACTCTGCACGGCTGCAGAATGTGACCCATGGCAGAGTCCTCTCGCCCAGCAAAGAGGCCGTCTTGAATAGGCCCAGCCTTCCCTCCAATGATCCGTTTGAAAGCGGAGAACTGAATGCAGGTTTCTATGTATTCTTTCCCCTTGGCGCTGTGAGAAACCGTTGCTTTGAAGTTGATCGCTCGCATTCCTGGCCGAGGTTTAAACCCGCACCCGCTCAACAATGGCCGGTGGCAAGATTTTTCAAGCAGGCCCGAAACCCTACCCTGAGAAGAAACCTTGCCATTAACATATGCCGAGGAGGGTCCTGACCGTAGCCTTTCTCGGCCCAGAAGAAAAGTCGCCTTTTTTTTTATCACGGCTGATCTGCAGGATGAACGACAGATCTTTCCGCACAGAGAACCTCTGTTGCTTTTTCTAGAGAATATATTATGCACAAAAACGCAGAAGACAGAAGACCCTCGCTTACAATATCAGACAGACAAAAATGCACCTATGTCGAAATATGTGAATCCCTAAACATGCTTGCAGGGAGGCTGTATCGTGAACGGTATGGGGTGGGGGAGCGGCAGAACGTCTTGAGGTATAAACAAGGACTAGAAAGAGTCTAAGCCCTGAAGAATGCAAAATATTTCTCTCCATCCAAGACAAAACAAAGGGCAGGCTTCTCCCTCCCTCCCTCGTGCTCTTGCTCTCTCCAGGTCGCTCAATGGGGAAAGCTAGCAAACGTCCCGGGACAGCATACAAGGCGGCTCATTAAAAGAAGCACAGAGCGACTCCCTGCTCCGCTCAACGTTTCGCAGGGCTGGGCCTCGTACTTTGACCTGCCAAGCACCAGGACCAGGGGAAGCGTCCACCGCCGGGGATGAAGCAGACAGCTCAGTCCAAAGGCACATCCAAGATCATGCTTAACCACCCGAGGTCTGGCCTCGTTCTGATGAGATCCAGCCTCAAGGGGACCAGAGGCCTGACCCAGAAGAAAATAAAAGCAGGGGCTTTCCTGGGGAAGCCACGCCGTACCCTTAGAAAGACCTCTGCCTTTTGCATCGCAGAGAGGCTTTTGAAGGAGACGTTCCTGTCCTGCCGTTCCAAAGGTCTGTCGCTTCTGTGTCTGCTTCAGAAGGGAAACGATGGGTCAGAGATCGAAGGAGAAGGAAGGTCCGAAAGAGTTCTTTTGAGCCACGATGCCCAGAATTCCACAGGCTAGGCTGCCCGAGAGGATTCCGGGAGTTGTTGTCCCAAAGCCCAGAGCCCAGGCAGGACCACCTCGGAATCCTTGCAGGCGCCTTCTGTGTCCACAGCGGGAGGGTGCCCAGCGTTGGATCGCTGCCTCTTCGCTCACCCTCACCTACGGGAGGAGAGGCCTAGCATCCTCGGCAGGAGGGGAAACATGGGACGTGGGCCACATGGGAAAGGAGACCGGGAGGTGCACAGAGGCAGCACGGACCTCCGCCTGCAGCTTTCAAGAGCCACTTAGGAGGAAGCTCCTCTTGAGCTGGACCGTCAGAGACTCACTCAAGCGGAAACCTCCTGGGCTTCCTTCTGGACCTGACACCCCTTTGCCCGCTCGTGGACAGCCACCTACAGCCCAGCACATTCTAAAAACTTTGTTCTCCATTGCTCATGTGTTCACACTGCAGACAAATAATTCCATATTTAACAACAACAACAACACAACACTTGGCACAAATCATCCACGCTTTGGAGCTGGCCTCCTTCACCAGCCATGCAACCCTACCCACGTCTACTTGGACAGGAGGCCCACTGAGTTCCATGGGACTTACACCCAGGTAAACCTACCTAGGACTGCAACCTCTTGACTCTTGAAACAAAGTCCCTTAAATAGGGCTGCGCCATACTAGATGACACCACTTCTAACTTGGAGCAGCAAACGCAGGCGCCAATCCCGACACTGTACATCCAGGCCTGTAGGAGGCTGCTCTACCACACCGTTCCTGGGCCTGCCCTTGACCGCAGCTCAGCCAGGCCAGTTTCCTCCAAGGCCCGGGTGCGGCAGAGAGGCCACCTCCTGTGGGCCGAGATGCCGTCTTGGGAGTCGTAGTCCGGGCCGGCAGAAGGCTAAAGGGTGAGAGTGCCACTGCCCGTGGCTAGGAGCTAACGGCTCTCCGACCTCTGATCTGGGAAACAGAACCGCCTGGGTTTCTCACGCTTCCGAGTGCTTTGGGTTACATCCACCCACCCTCCCCACCAGGGCAGGTGGAGGGAGTCCTTGCCCCTCACGCCTCAGCTGCATTTTTAACACGGCAACGTCTCTTCCTCCCTGATCTGATCGAGGAAGGCATGAAAGAGGGACAGCTGCACCTCACGGGGGTCCCAGCTGGACCCCCCCCTCCCATCTCTGGATGTGTCGCTGTCGCCCCGTTCAGTGGTGCAAGCATCGGGCCCAACCCTATTCCTAAAGCAAGGGGCAGGTGTGTGTCACAGTTGGCACGGATGGATTGGGCCCAACATCCTTGGGCACTGCTGGACCCCAGGGAGTGGCAGCTCCCTCCCCACCCTTAAAGGGTCCTGTTCCAGAGCCTGGCAGCGGGGAGACCCCATCTCTTCAAAAGACACTGAAGCAGGAGGAGGTGCCAAGGCCTGGAGGCTACTTGGCACCTGCTGCCCGCCCGC